AGGAAATCCTAGTGCACTCCTGATTGATTCACATGTAAAACTGTACAATTCAGTTTGCCAAGAGGCTTAAGAACTAAACCACAGTATGGAACACCACATTCTCCAAGTGGCCTCTAAATTACAATTAAACAAAGACCAGAGTAACACTGCAAAGCTCTGGAGACTAAACTGTCACACTCAGCCCACTAAGTAGGCTAAACCCCAACAAGGTGATTTCCTACTATGTATAATAATTAAATAGGTTCTAAGTCCCATTCTAAAACACTCAGAATTTCCAGGATAAAATTAAAAAAAAAAAAAAAAACAAGATAACTCAGTTGTTAGAATTATCTGACAGGAATTTTAAAGCTACCATCATAAAATGATCCAACAAAAGATTAGGAACCCTCTTCAAACAAAAGAAAACGATGCTGCAACTCTTGTCATACTTCATGACAGCAGATGGTCCACTGCAAAAAAATATATTTTCAGTGGTTTCAATGTTACACATTCAAGTTATTTACATTTTATAATTTCAAGAGGGAAGTAAATAATAACAACAAAAGTTGGATATAAAGTAAAACAAGCAAGCCTCACTATATATCAAATAAATAACAAATTAGAAAAAGTTTTGATTCTCGTAGAAGGGATGATTCTGACTAGAAAAAAAGGAAAAACACAGATTAGAGAAAAGTAAAGAACCCTGAAGGGTTGGACTAAAAGTAGAGGTTTTGGTGTATTCTCATGATCTCTAAAAACATGGTAAGTGTAAATGGATTTACATGCATCCATATACATGTTACAAATGTGTGCACACATGTGCATTTATGTATGTATCCATCTGTCCATATGCATATATATGTATACATATGTACACACACACACACACACACACACACACACTCCCAAACTCCATCTGCAAAGCCTAGAAGCATCTTGGTTTCTCAGAGCTCCTCAGAGAAATGGCTAATTCCAGGGCTGGGATGTGGAAGGACAAGATTTTACTATGCCATAAAGAAGGAAATGGCAATAAAAGCAATGGATGCGTGTTAAGAGGACTAGGAATCAGTATGAAGACCTCCTACTGGTCAAATCTGAAAAACTACAAACACCACAATAACCAGGAATGGTAAGAAGCTATAAATCTGTGGATCCATATCCATAACAAATGAAGTGGGGGTGGGAAACAAGGTAGAGGAAAGGCTCTTGTTTTCAGAATCATAACAAGTGCCAACTGGCAAATGTGAAGGGAGTGATGGAGCTGGGAAATCATTTCATAACTATCACAGAAAAGACTCAGTCAGGTAAGTTACCACAGGAAGCTAAGTACACATGTGAAACATTAATAAGGTAGAGAACGGTTTTATCTCTCTATAGATTTCTCACTAGTAAGAGGGAAAACAACATACACAATGGAGACACTGACCAAGTTATTAAATTAATATCACAAAAATGGGCTCATAAGTGTCAAGCATCCATAGAACTGACAGTTTGAGGGAAAAAAACCCTCACATAGTTTTTGGCTATGAATGCACAACCTCGATGAAATTATATAAATTATATATACACACACACCAAAGACAGTTTTTTTTTTTTAAAGGCCAATGTCATGAGAGACTAATTGTTTCACACTGAAAGAGATTGAAAAGATAATACAACTAAATGCAATAAGTGATCCAAAACTGGATCATATCCTTCAGTGGACAAAAAAAAATCCATAAAGGCCATTATTGGATCCACTGAAGCAACTGGAACAGAGATGATAAATTAGAGTATTCCAACTGTAAATGTATATCGACAATAAATACTATCCCCTCACCCACCCAAGGAAATACACAATGAAGTATTTAGAGGTAAAGAGACCAGGTTATGCAATTTATTCTCATAGGTTTAGAGATTCCTTGGAAAACTCAGTATTTGACCTAGCTATCCCACTCCTCAGTCTACACCTAAAGGACTTAAAATCAGTATACTCTAGTAAGGCAGCCACATCAACATTTACAGAAGYTCAACTCACAATAGCTAAACTGTGGAAGCAATCTAGATGCCCGTCAATAGATGAATGGATAAAGAAACTGTGGTATATATACAAAATGGAATATCACCCAGCATTAAAAGAGAATAAAATTATGGCATTTGCAGGTAAATGGATAGAGTTGTAGAATATCTTGCTAAGTGAAGTTGCCAATCCCCTCCCCCCCAAAAAAAGGCTAAATATTCTCTCTGATTTAAGGCTGCTGATCTATAATGGGGGGGGGGATAGGAAAAATAGAGGAACTCGGATTGGGCAAAGGGGAGGGAGGAGTGGGGAGGAGGCATGGGGGCAGGAAAGATGGTGGAATGAGATGGACATCATTACCCTGGGTACATATATGACTGTACATGTGGTGTAACATTACATCATGTACAACCAGAGAAATGAGAAGTTGTGCTACAATTGTATACAATGAATCAAAATGTATTCTGCTGTCATATATACATAAATAAAATTAATTAATTAATTAATTAAGAAGATAAATGTATGTGTGAATATATGCACACCCACACACATACCAACAGAGAAAAAGAGATAGAAASTATAAGTAAAGAGCAAGTGGGGCATTTTGTATAAAGGGTATACATATGTTCTTTATGATAACCTTTCAGCTTTCCTACAAATTCAGTATCATTTCTGAACAAAATAATTTTTAAGCACATGCCTACAGTCCCAGCTACTTCAGAAGCTAAGGAAGATCACATCACAAGTTCAAGGCCAGCCTGGGCAACTTAGCAAAACCCTATCTCAAAATAAAAAAGGGCTGGGGATATAGCTCAGTGGTAGAGCATTACACACACACACACACACACACACACACACACACACACTTTAAAAAAAAAGAATGCAAAATTAAGACCATTTCAGACAAACAAAAGCTGAGAGAATCTGTCTCAACAATATATGTGCATTACAAGAAATAGTGACTAAGTTTTTCAGGGAAAAAAAAATGACAGTGGATGGAAGTCTAAATCTACAAAAGAAATGTAGAATGCTAGAAATGATAAATATGTAGATAGACTTTTTTTTTTAAGGACCAGGACTGAACCCACGGACTCACACACTTGCTACTGAACTACATCCCTATACCTTTTTATCTCTTATTTTGAGACAGGTTGTGCTAAATTGCCCTGGCTAGCCTTGAACTTAGAATCCTCCTTCTTCAGCCTCCCAAGCAGCTGGGATTACAGAAATGTGCCACAATGTCCAATTACTTTTTATTTTATCTAAAAGAAAAGTGACAGCTTAAAGCAAAAGGTATTAAGGAGTTTTTAACATAAACAGAAGAAAAATCTATGACAATAATAAAAAGAATGGAAGTTGTAGGATCCTTCCCTTACACATGAAGTAATATATTATTTGAAGGTAGACTATAATAAGTTAAAGATGCATATGGCAAACTAGATAATGATGAAAAATAAAAGTTTTTTGTTGTTGTTATTGTTTTTTGTTTGTTTGTTTTTGTGTGTGTACAGCAGAAAAATTCAGGGGCTGGGGCTGTAGCTCGCGGCAGAGCACTTGCCTAGCATATGTGAAGCACTGAGTTCAATCCTTAGCACTGCATAAAAAATTAAATAAAGGCATGCTGTCCATCTACAAAATAAAATAAAGAAAAAAGAAACTTAGTCTCTCACACTATACTCTCATACTTCTGAAATAAGATGTGTGGCGATTTCCCCTCATATACCATGCAAGCAAGCAATTCTTCAAAAGATACCAGCTATATGCTCAATTCAATTCCCTTATTATCTACCTTGAAAGAGCATCAGATCCCACGAGACAAGRGCTCTATCCCACAAGACTGTCTCTTGTATGCTTCCAATGCCAATCATAAGCCACAGGTTGTTCACTAGTGTTTTTGACTAACCAGGGTTTGCACAATCCAGTTGTGACAGTGATAATGCTGTCCCTCTGCCAGTTGTCCTTGGCAGACTTACTTTTGATTCGCTTCCCTTTGCTCAGCATCCTAAAGTCTAAAGGAAAGCCACCCCAAAGTGATTAAAAGTGATAATCTTTCTTTAGATTTACAGAACCTAGAACATCTAGTGACCTTCAGATTACATCCTAATGTTTAACTCTTCTTATTCTTTAGTCCTATGCAGCAATTAATACAAAGCATATAGGTTTTCTGTGAAGTTTAACTTGCAAAAAGTAATATGTTTACCTAAAGAATTATACAAACTAGACTCAGGTCAAGATAGCCATGTTGCAGTCAGACTAGACTGAGGTTGACAACATGCCCTAGATGACAAAGATCCCGCCCCAAATGCCTCCTGTACCTCCTTTCCATCTCTTTTTGCATAAATGAGTTCCCTAACATGGGCTTCTTCGGAGCATGATAGCTCCCCCATTTTCTCAGGGTGCCAGCTCTTGAAAAAACCTGATTCCTTTCCCACCAGCTCTCCTTTCCCCAGTATTGGTTTTCTAGTAACAGGCAGGAAGGCTTGGATCTGGTAACACTTCCTCAAGTTTGATACAAATTCAAAGAAACACAGAACTCAAAGAAACACATTACTAGTTTATTATAAAGGGTATTTTAAAGGATGCAAGTGAATATCCAAAATGAGACACACAGGAGGGGATATATAGTATCATAACCATTCTTTTATGGATAAGAAAACTGAGGTACAGAGATAGCAAGTAATTTGCCCAGAGTCACCCAGCCACAGAGCTGAAGAACTGGGACAGTAGCCCAGTATCTCCGGCAGATCTACTCTTCACCACCATGCTATCTGAAAAATGCCTAAGAACCTGGTAACAGTGCTGTTTCTGAGAATGGTGACTTGGGGATTAGGAGACAGGCTGAGAAAAAGGCTGGCTTATTGTAGTAATCTCTAGGTATCATTTGAAGGAATAAATCTGCATATCTTATCTATTACCAAAAATGTACTCACTAAAATTTTTTCCTCTATGGTTTGTAATCTCTAAGCTACACAGAAGTGTTTTACACAGATGATAAACATAACTCATTATTTTACTACTTTACCTGATTTAGGATGCAAAGCATCACATTGGGCATTGTACATATGTACAAATTCTTGATGCCTTTTAATAAGCTGCTGTCTATTTCCTTGAGTAGACAATCCATGCTGTTTTAGTTTTTTCTTTAAATCACGATCAGAGAGCAAGTTATACACCGTTTTGGGCAGTGGCTTCCTTTTGTTAACAAAACTGAAAAGGCAAAGGAAAAAAAAAAAGTTCCCTGAGGATTATTGTGAATTATCAAATGCTTTCATGTAAAACAATAATTTATCTTCTGACTCAACACATGGGTGACTGGGAGAACAGTAGAGACATTACAATAATGAGGGGAAAGAGAAGAGTTTAGTTTGTGGAAAAGTTGAGGGTGTTTGACAATGGTGCCCCTGAGGTGCCAACAATGTTTGGATAGAGAAATCCAGGCAGCTCCTGAAGTAAGACTTAGGTCTCAGAAAGAGGTCAGGTCTAAAGACGAAGACTCAGAAAGCTTATATGGAAGGTTTATGGACTCAATGTTATGAGAATTTCACTTAAGGGCTGGGAATGTGGCTCAAGTGGTAGCGCGCTCTCCTGGCATGCGTGCGGCCCGGGTTCAATCCTCAGCACCACATACCAACAAAGATGTTGTGTCCGCCAATAACTAAAAAAAATAAATATTAAAAAATTCTTTCTCTCTCTCTCTCTCTCTCTCTCTCTCTCTCCCTTTAAAAAAAAAAAAAAGAATTTCACTTAGAATCACACTTATGTAGGCCTGATCAATTCTCTTTAAAGCATGCTTTTCCTAAAACTTACTCATGGTTTCCATGCAAAGTTCCTATAAAAAACAATTATGTCAAATGATTATAATATAAACACTATTGAGAGTTAGGCTGTGGGTATAAGGATTTAATTATTACAAATAGCTTCTCCAGAAAATGTTCTAATCAACAGACAAACGTGCCCTTCAAATATTAAACAATTGTTTTGAAAGGGACTAGATAAATAAAAGGGGAACTGTCAACTTTACTCAGCTCATTACTGCCACTGAAAAACGAATTCAGAAAGATGGACAGTGAGCAATAATCTTCAAAGAACACAAAGGAAAACAATGATTTAAAAAAAAAAAAAAAACAAGCTTCTGTCCTCTTCAAGTATTTATGTTAATAAACAAATAAAAAAATGCATTAGGAAAATTACCATCTGGCTTTTCATTTTTCAATCTATTTATATAATAAATACACTGATAATAATTTTAAGTATAACAAAGCCATGTTATATTACCTTCTCCTACTCTTTGCCCCAAAAGAAAACATTATTTCTTAAAATAGACTAGAATTCAAGCTTGCCTACAAACATCAATCTTGACTTGAGACAATCTTCATGAACAGGAACTCCTTAGTGAGTTTTAATCCATTTTATCTGATTATAGCATGACTCCCTGAGTACAGCCCCTCATTCAGCTTGATGGTAATTAGGTGCTTAGTATGTTTTTGAAGTGGTTATTATAACCGCAGTCATTTCAAAATGAGAACAGAAAAGGTTCGGGTAAAAATTAATCGGAGCTTGAGAGTAACTGGTTTATCCAAAAAGCAAGAGTTTACAAAGGATCTGCATAGAACTAGTTCACAAAAGTTGTGCATCCCTCAGATTCCCCTGGAAGGAGGGCTTGGTTAAAATGCAGATTCTCAATCCCCTTCGCAACAACTACTCATGTGGTTCAGGTCTGAAGTGGAAGTTTAAAGTCTATACTTTCAGCAAGGTTCCCCCAGATCCACCTGGTACACATAGTGCAAAGGTCACACTTAGAGAAATATTACAGTCAAAAATATAAAAATAACCACAGATGTCTTTATGAACCAACAGTGCCATTTCCTGACTAAACCATCTCTTTTATGCTCTATTAATAAAATCTAAAAGCCAGAGATAACTACTTAACTATATCACAGTAAGTAGCAATAGACGAATCATTTTATAGGCATTTATAACAAGCATCAGGAAGGAATAATTCACATTGATTCCTATCTAAAACACTTATTTTATCAAAGATAAATGTCTAATTTATAACAATGAAATTATAATAATAAATTGTACTATTCACTGGAATTTACAATGAAAAGCACCACCAGAGATCAACTATTTCTATCTAGAATTTTAAAATATAAAACATGATAAATGTTTCCTCAAACATGAAAATGACATTAATCCTTCTTCTATGACTTGATAAAACTGAGTAATGCACTTAAAGGTCTCAGAATCTGAGGATATGAAAAGGTACAGTCTTTGAATCAACCAGGAGATGATTTTATATAGAATGAGTTAAGGGTTGTCATTCATATCTGGGAGATGATCTGGGTGCAGAGGATGAAACTGAAAAATAAGCAGAGACTCCTCTATGTGACAAAACCCCAGGACAGGAAGTAAAGACAGATGCAGCTAAATGCTCCCATAAGTATGTCTGACCAATTTTGTAAGATGTGAGTTATGAGGATAAAACCCAGAAATTATCTATAAGGTAGGACTTTCAGCAGCCTCAGTACACTAAGAGGGTAATGCAATACACAGTGCTTCTAAGTTGTACTATGGACCAACTGACAGGACTCCAGGATTCTGTGGAGCAGAATCTGAAACCACTAATTACACATGGATAAGCCCATCTTTCCATAAATTGACAGAGGTAGACATAAATGAATATGATAGATGCATCTAGAAAAAGAGGAGTTCAAACAGAATTATCAATGTTGATTCCTCACTCTTTAAGGAGAAAATCCTTAGCTTCTATACTCATTCTTTAGGAAGAAAYACTTCTAAAAAAGGTCATTAGACTCTCATGGCTTATAGAAAACAATCCATGGGACTGTCCAGTCTCATAAATCCTCACTAACCAAGCAACCTCACTAACAATCTGTGCACACAGATTGTCTTATGTTTGCCCCCCCACAGTAAATTAACAAAACACCACTGAACTTTATGATACCTAGTGYTATATAACTTTATATTTATAATATAATAGAGAAATATAACTTCATATTTATAATATAAAGTTATAATATATAACTTTCCCCCAGAACCTGCATTCACTCCAAATTTGAAAATTAAGTGACACATTTTTTTACTTTTAATTATAAAAAGCAGTAAGATGGCCCTGCCTTATTAATGTGGTGTTTGGAAAATACTCTTCCAAGTCCTTCAAAACAGATCAAACTTAAGGGCCCATCATTCTATTCATCCCAACTTCTTACCAATCATTGTATCCTTCTCTGTCTTTTCAAAGCTCACTAAATTACACCTATTTTCTCTGCCTTTCTTCCTAAAAGTTTCCAAAGAGACGTTTCACAAGGCCCAGGATAACTTCATTACTAGACTCTTGATCTTTAGTACTCACCACTTTGTTCCATTTATCATCTGTTCTCTCCCTGGAGACAGTGGAAGCAAAGAGACTAAAGATTTAAATAACCTCTATTTTTAAAAGAATCATCCCTTGATCTTGCTGTTCACTCTTTCTCTCAACTACCATCTCATTGCTCTTGTTCCCTTCATCACCAGACTCATCTAATTTGCAGCTTCTGCTTCCTCATTATCTTCATCAGCCACTGGTTTCTTAATATCCTGCAATTTAACTTCAATTAAAATTTTATTCCTAAATAACTTATATGTGTGAAAGTAGTGGACTAGTTTAAGAAATTACTGTTACTTTGATATAAAGGAGGCAGAATAGCATAGTAGTTGGGTACAAATATTGAGCTGACAACTTACTAGTTTGTCAACTGGGCAGATTGGAGGGGAGGACATCATGTTTCACACATACCATTTTCACCATTTTTACAATTGTACATAAATGCCTGGTCCAAAAATAAATTTTTAAAAAGGCTTGATGTAAATTTCTACAACTTTTAAGCATCCTAAGGACCAAAAAAAAAAAGAATAAGAAAGACTTCATGTGTTCAATGTTCAAAGTTTAGCCTTACTTGTTTTAATCATAGGATTTTATGGAGTTCTAAAAGTCTAAAAGAAAAGAGATTAAAAAGAAATGAATTTTAAGTTAYTAATTTCTCAAGTAAAAAATTCATATTCAAAATAACTATATTTGGCAAAGTAGGAACTCAGGGAGGAACAAAAGGAGAAGGATGGAGATCTGATCAACAGAATTAAAGAATAATGGGAGGGAGAATACAACTGGTCACTGGGATGAAATGAATATGAATTGTTTCTTCAGGTTTATGAACCACAAAAAGCACATAACTAAAGTAGCTTGGGTTATGCTCAACTTTCTTACCTTCTGAGGCTTTCCTTCTTCTCTTCACGTGATAAACAGCTGTCTAAGTGTTTATTGATGTGGTTTTCTAGAATGCTAACTCCACAAACAGGACAATCCACTGTATTTTTAAAAAGAGAAACACAGAATTTACTATCTGTAGAAAGGGTAAAAAAAAAAAAAATATATATATATATATATATATATATATATATATACTGATTCTTTCAGCAATTAAGATAAAAAAAAAAAACATAATCCCAATTTAACATGAACTTACAAAAGCAAAAGACAAAAGGAATGACCCAAGAGGGCAACATCAGCAGGACAGACTGGTTAATGGGTAAGAACTACATTGTGGGAAGTCACAAATCAGAAACCCAGGCTTAGAGACTGCACATAGGCTGGAAATTGGTTTATTAGAAAATGCTCTGGTTGTTAGGCRCAGTGGCATACACCTATCAAACATGCAACTGGGGAGGTTGAGGCAGAAGTTCAGGCCAGTCTTAGCAACTTCACAAGATCCTCTCTCAAAATAAGAAATAAAAAGGAAAAAAAACTGGGGATATAGTTTAGTGGTAAGGTACTCCAGTTTCAATCCTCAGAACCAAAAAAGGAAAAGCTTTCATTAAATCTTTTCTACTAAAGAATGACCAAACTATAAAGCAAATCTTCTGTTTTTCCCAATCCTTAGGAGCATCCCTGGTTAGCACAGAAGCAATAAACATCAACTACAGGGAGACATAACTGGCCTTGGGCAAGKGAGCAGGTAAGTACAGTTGGATTAATGCATTTACTGGATAAGATCAAATACTATACAATTTTGACAGTGCTTACAAATTTGYTAATTTACTTCTCATTTATAATTCCGTATGTAATGTTAAAATTATTAAATACAATCATTCTCAAGTTGCTTCATGGAGTTGAAAGGATCTGTGGAGGAATCTCAAGACTTAGAAGCCATTATGGATACAGTGGACTAAAGCAGGGAAGGTAATGTTGTAACAGAGCAGCAYAATTTCTAGGTCCTCTGTCCTTACTTTTAATAGAGCATGGCCAATTTTATGTTATGCTTCATTATAAGATTTCATTTGGAAAAAAGGTTCTGTGAAGGAAAAACTAAATTAGCAATCAAGCTTAAAAAAAATACAGTAAGAACAACTGGTAAAAAAGACTGAGGATAAAACATACTAGGAAATTTAAGTGAAATTTATATTCCCTTAAGAAATAAATTAATTAATTAATAAATTAATTCTAATTTATCTAACATTAAAAAACACTAACAGCCTTGCACTGTGGGTGGCATAGGTTTACTGAAGATGTCTAAGACTAATTCTGCCTAAAAGGTGCTCCAAATTTCACTGGTAAGAAAAAACATAGAAAACAAAGGTTAAACAAAGCAATATATTCATCAAACAGATAAGCAAACAGAAAACAAAATGGCTGGAAAACAAGTGTTTTCAGGGCTGTGAGATATAGATGTTGTCTAACCCTAATCAATGAGTAGTTTAGAATCTGGACAGTTTAAAAAGGTGTAGAACAGGGGTCTCTAAACACTCTTAGCAAAGGCTAGGTAGTAAAGAATTAAGGCTTTCCAAGTCAGTATGACCTTTGTCACCAGTATGCAACTCCTTCACTGCAGCATGAAAGCAGTCAATCTGTAAACAAATGGACATGGCTGTGTTCCGGTAAACCTTTATTTACAGAAATAGATGACAAGGTAGATTTGGTCTTGGAAATGCAGTTTGCCAATCCCTGGCTATATTGGAGGAAGAATGAGGAGATCGGCTTGGCTTGAAATGGGTTTCTAAGAGAGAGAGAGGTAAAAAATAAGGTGGAATAGCTAGAGTAGAAACCAAATCATCAAAGGCTTTAAATGACAGGCAAAACATCATGGAGGCAGGTATTCAAACAATGGTATAAGAAGACAAAAACAGCTCTTAGAGATTAAATTGAAACTAGTATGTTAAATGGGGGTGGGGATTTAAAACTGAGAAACAAAGTTACTATGAGGCTGAAGAATGAACTAATTAAATTGTTTCTTTCTTTTTTGTAATTGTTAGTTGTTATTGTTGTTTTTAAGAAATCAGGCTGAATTTCTACTCTATGAGAAAGAAAAAACAAATATACATAAAAGTACCCACTACATCAATCTCTGAGATTGTGATAAAGTAAAATCTGGTTTATATCTTCCCAATCCTTCCCCCTAAAAACTGCTATTTATTCTTCTGTCATTTGAATGAGAATATTTCTACTAAATAAGAAAATACACATAAAAAATAATTTCCTACCTTTAGAAACTTGCTTCAAAGTGGACGTAGAGGGTATCTCATGACCATTAGTATCTGAGAAGCCAAGGGCTGTCTTTCCCATAAAATATGCCGCTTTGGTCTCCAGAGAAGTGCTTGCCTCTTTCTGTGGGCTAAATTTAATGTCATTTTCTTTCATTGACAACTCTGATATAGAACCATTAGTTTCTCTAACCAAGAAATTGTCCATTAATCTGCTCCCCTGCTTTAAAGAATGTCGGTAACCTCCAGGAGTATGTACTTTGACAGCAAGTTTCTTAGAAGAGGAAGAAGCAGGAGATATGGGTGGTGATTCTAAAGCAAACTGTAACAGATGATTCCTGGAAATATAAAAAACACAACAGATAATTAACATATCAATTTATGTATAATAAATGGACTGACATGCCCTGTTTTCCCAATTAACACTTATTTTTTCTGAAATATGAAGCTTACACCATAACYATAATCAAACCAAAATGTTTCTTCTAGAATAAAACTTGAAGTAAAAAAAAAATCTAACTTAAAAGGTAGTTGAGGGGCTGGAGTTGTGGTTCGGTGGTAGACTGCTTGCCTGAAACGTATTAGGCACTGGGATTGATCCTCAGCATCACATAAATTAAATAAAATAAGGTAATGTGTACATCTACAACTAAAAAAAAAATTTTTAAATGTAGTTGATATGTCTACAAAAGGAAATGACAAGACTTCGGGTTCTGGTCATGGAGAAAAGCTTATGCTAGTTTTATTCTCCAGTGGTAAATAACTTTAAAATCTGGACAAATCTGTTGTAGGCACTGGAGTGTAATCAATACAAAACTGAGATCTCTGAGAGAGAAGAGACMCATGAAATGAACCGGTCAGTGTTCCCCCAAGATTGTACCTTGGAAGCATTTTCTGGGAATAGGGTATTAAATTCAAATCCAAACAGGGTAGCTAGGACAGAGGCTAGGGTGCTTGGCATGTATAAGTCATGAGAAGGAAACCCAGAAATTTGCTCAGAAATTCTCATCCATTTGTGACCATCTCTAGGTTGAAAAATCAAAGAAAACCAGAGACTACCTGGTAGGRAAGAGACACTAGTAAATTGAGATTTCAAAGGTCAATGCTACAATGTCATCAGTGTTTGTGCCCAATCAAAGCAGAGAGGCATACATGAAGACCATGGACATTACAGCGAAATTCCACAAAGATCACACATTAGGAAAATGGACCACACTGGATACATGTAAACAAAATTAAACAGAACAACCTAAGAGAACACTACCAGATCTTGATAGAAAAAAGGTGAAGAGCTAGCAATTTAACTGTCCTAACAAAATTCAATATATTTCAAAGGAAAATAATTTGCAACTTCTATATTTTGTCAACAATGTTCAACACATATTTAAAAATTACTAGACATGCAAAGAAGCAAGAAAAAATAGCCATTAGCAAAGAGATAAAATATTTAATAGCAGTAGATCAGAAGTGATCCAAAAAGCAGCATTCTAAAGAACTATGATAAATATGTTAGAGGAAACACAGATAAATGGATGAAAAAGTACATTATGAAAGAAAACTTTACATCCATTTAAAAAAACAATGAACACTCTATCATTACAAAATAGTTTATCTAAGTTGGATGGATATAATAAGAGACAGCAAAAGATGGTAGTAGTAAACTTGAAAGCAGGTCAACAGAAAATATCTAAACTGAAGCACAAAGAGTGAAAAAGACAGAAAAACAAATAGTATTTACCCAACTGATCAAATCATAGTGGAAATTAGAAAATAGTGAGTTGAATGATTTCATGAGAATTTGCCAAAACAGTCTCTAGAAGGAAAATTTTAATAGATTAAAATCAATATTATGAGCTTCTAGGAAATGAACAGCAATTAAATGCAAACAAGGAAGGATTTAATAACAGAGACAAGTAAAATAGAAAAGAGACATTCAAGAGAAAATGAGCAAGGCCAAAAGTTGATTTTTTTAAAAAAAAATTTAACAAAATCATTAAATCTCCACCAAAATTAAATACCAAAAAATATATATATATATATACAAATTACCAAAACAAAAAATTAAAAGGACACATCATTACAAATACTACAGAAATTAAGATCACTAGGTAAGATCATAAATATTTTATAATAATAAATTAGAAATTTTACATAAAATGGATAAATTCCTTGACAAACACTATTCATTAAAAGTAACAAAGGAAGCCAGGTGTGGTGGTGCACACCTGTAACCCCAGCAATTTGCCTATAATCCTAGCGACTTGAAAGACTGAGGCAAGAGGATCTAAGGTTAAGGGTAGCCTCAGCAACTTAGTGAGGCCCTAAGCAATTCAGCAAGACTCTGTCTCAAAATGAAAAATAAAAAGGGATGGGGATATGGCTTAGTGGTTAAGCACACCTGGGTTTAATCCYCAATACCAAAAAATAAAAAAGAAGAAGAAGAAAAACCCACTTGACAATGGAAGAAACAGAAAAAGAAGAGTCCTTCTTAGCAATTACAGAAAGTAAAGCTATAATTAAAAACCTTCCTATGAAGAAAACTCCAGGCCCACATACTTTCACTGGTGAAATATTTACCAAATATTTAAGGAAAAAATAATATCAACATTGCACAAAATCATTCAGAAGATAAAAATGGGGAAATATTTCCCAACTCAAATTGATAAAATCAGATATGCACATTGTAGGAAGAAAAAATTATAGTTCAATAATCTTTCATTGAGCACAGATACAGAAGTTTAAATGAAATATTCACAAATAAAATCTACAGACAAATTTTCAAAATATGTATATAATGTATCATAACCAAGTGGGATTTATTCCAAGAATACAAAAAAAATCAATAAATGAAATTTACATGAGCAAAATAAAGTATAAAGCTATATAATCATCTCTACAAATATAGAAAAAGCATTTGATAAAATTTAATGCCCAGAATTAAAAAAAAAAAAAAATTTTAAATGTAATGCCCAGGGCTGAGGGTGTAGCTCAATGGTAGACTGTGTATGAGGCCCTGGTTTGATCCCCAGAATTTAAAAATAAATAAATAAATAACATTAATTTATAATAAACACATTCTAGAAAACCAGAAACAGAAGTGAATTTTTTTATCTGATAAAAGACTATTGTCAAAAAACTTAAAGCTAACACCAATCATAAGTGAAATACTGAACATCTCCTCCTCTAACTCTGAAAATAAGACAACCACCAGCTTTTTAAATTGTATTATAGGACCTAGCTTAATGACAAGACAAAAGAAACGGGTGGGGGCAAGAAGGGGAATATGAAGGGCACACAGATTGGAAAAAGAGAAAAAAATTTTCATTTGCAGATGAAATGATTATTTACATAGAAAATTTAAAAGAATCTATAAGAAGCTAGAACCAACAAGTACATTTTCACAATTACAACAAGTACATTCTACTTATGATGTCAATAGACAAACACTAATGTACCTATACATTAGCAAACAGAAAATAAAATCTTAAAATACCACTCAAAGTACCATCAAAAAGGGTTGCGGTTGTAGCTCAGTGGTAGAGTGAACATGTGAAGCACTGGGCTCAATCCCCAGCACCACATAAAAATAAAATAAAAGTATTATGTCCATCTACAACTAAAAAAACATATACTTTTWAAAAAGTACCATCAAAAATATTAAACACCTGTGAATAAACTTAACAAAAAATGCATAAAATCTGTATTCTGAAAACTACAAAATGCAGCTTAAAGAAATAATAAAAAAAAGCCTAAATAAATGAAGACATATTCCATGTCCACAGTTGAAAAGACTCAACAATGTTAAAATATCCATTTTTCCCACTTTTATTTATAGATTCTGCAATACCATTTACAATACCAGACATTTTGGAGAAATGAAAATGTTATGCTCATTCTAAAATTTATATGGAAATGAAAAGGCCCTAGAATGCCAGCAGTCTTGAAAAAGAATGAAGTTAGAGAATCCAAACTACCAGATTTTAAGAACTTACAGTATAACTACAGTATTAAAGATACTGCAAGTATTAGTTTACAGAGAGACAAAAAGAATACAGAACATAATATGTCAAGAAATAGATCCATAAATATAATCATTTGGCAATCTAGTGGGCCTTTTAATAAGTGGTGCTGGTACAACTGAATATTTGTTGAGGAAAAAATGAAACCTAACCCTTACTTCCATTATATCCCCATATTAACTTGAATAGGTTCACAGACCTACACATAAAAGTTAAACTATAATAATTCTAGAAGAAAATGTATCAAAAGTTCTTGTAATAGGCAAAGATTCTTAGGCAGGATTTAAAAAGCACTAATTCATACGAGAGAAAATTAACTTGATCAAAATGAAATCATTTACTCATCAAAAGAAACACTTAAGAAAATTAAAAGGCAAGCCATAGATAAGGGAAGGAAAAATGTAACATATTTGGCAAAAACATGTGAAGAACTCATACAAGTCAATAATAAATTTTAAAACTAGACAAAAACTATGAAGACATGCAAAACACAGGAATAGTCAACAAGCTTATGAAAAGGTACATTAGTCATCAGGAAATACTAAGTAAAATCACAATGAGCTACTACTTCATACCCTATAGAATGCTTAATAGACCTGATGACACCAAACATTAACCACGATGTAGAATGACTGAAACTCCCATACACTACTGCTGGATGTAGTACAACCTCATTGGAAAACATGCAAAGAATACAAACAAATATTCATGCAGCTTTCTTCACAACAATCATAAGCTAGAAAAACTCAAAACCTTGGATAGGTGGATGGGCAAAGAGTGTACACAAAGGAACTATTCAGCAATAAATAGTGTGAACACCAACCCACACAACCTCAGGGATGAATAACATGAGCAGTGTATGAAGTGAAAGAAAAGAATACCATGATTTTAGTTACTGGAGTTTAAAAATAATCCGATGATAGAAAATTGCAGGGTCATTGCCCACAGAGGTACGGATTAACTAACAACAGAATAACAGAATAAAGGAAATTGCTGAGGAAACATTTAAAAATGTTCTAAATCCTGACTGTGACTGATGTAAGACAGATGATGCTGGACACCCAAGGAATTTTCAGGAAGCAGGTTTATTTAAGCGACAGCAGTCCAAAGGGGCTAATACCTAAAAATCTCGGAACCCTGGGTCTAGAAATTCTTTGAAATTTATACTCAGTGGGAAGAGTTACATAACAGTGGGGGGTTACATGGCAGATACTCTTTGTCCCATATTTTAGGTCAGACAGAGGTTTCACAAGTTTTTATCAAGAAAATAGAAACAATAATTTTTATACAACAAGCTCTCAAGACAAGATTCTATCACACCTTTTGTCTCAAACTTGGCATTGACAAGAAAGAGGAAGCTTCAAACCACATTGAGCTCTCTGCTGAAATACTGTTGTCACTCTTTGTAAAATCTTGCTGACAAGAAGTTTAATTATGGTGGGGAGGTGTCCCTCAAGAAGCTTATTATGATAAGGGTCTTTTGGGTAGGGGTGTACCTGTGGCTGCATGATCACTACATAAATGTACGCAGTTATCAAAATTTAATAATCGGGCTGGCAAAACAAAACCTGAGATGTGTGTGTGTGTGTGTGCGCGCGCGCGCGCTCGTGTGCATGCATGCTTGTATATTTTTTTTTAAATGAAGTGTGGTATGAGAAAAACAGCTTGATTTTTTTTTTTCCTTTTTTTTTTTGTGGTGTTAGGAATTGAACCTAAGGGCTAGGAAAACATGCTAGGAAAAGTGCTCTACCACTAAGCCACAGAATATCCCATTGAGATGACCCTGAAGAAACAAAAAAGAAAGTAGGGGATTTAAACCACTTGGCCCTCTGGGGAAACATCGGTTCATCAAGGAGCAACAGAAAGCACAAGGCTTAGGGTCAGAGTATAATTAAAATGTTTGAGAAAACGCAAGAAAGCCTGGAAGCAAATAAACAAGGGCAAAAGAGAGAGCAAGACTACCTAGGAACCAGAGGTTTTACTTAGGCTTTTGCTCCAAATGAGTTGGAAAATGCTAAGTTTGGATGTTAAATGTTCCCCTAAGATCCATTTATTCAAAGCTTGGTTCTCAAGGTGCTGTGAAAATTTAAGAGGTTGAGCCTAATCAGAGGTCATTAAAGATATACCCTCAAAGGGATTTTAATATTTTCACCCAGCTCATCTTATAGTATATGAATTACAAAATGTCTCCTGGTTTTAAATGCCATTTGTATATTCGTGGCTTCCAGATTTATATCTTTAACTAGATTTATCCCCTTAAGTCTCCTGTCCTCTGTTTCCTAGTTCAAGACATGAGCACTTGTTCCAACATGATTCTCCAATATGATATATTGCTCTCACTAGAAGCCTAAATCTTGGACTGGAACCTCCAAAACTGCAAACCAAAATAAATGTTTTCTCTTTATGGTATTTTATTGTTATAATATAGCTGTCAAACACAGGGAGCCACCTCTGGATGATTTTAAGCATGATCTAACTTCTTGTTTTAAAGGGATAACTCGCTGTCTTCAGGAAGGACTTTAGGAGGCCATTAAGAAGTTATCATAGTCATGTAGGCTGACACTGGTTTGGACCAGATTATGGATGATAATGGAAGGGAGCTGAAAAGCATTCAGATTTCAGAAAATTTGTGAGAATGAAGCCACCTGAATTTACTAACGAAATCAATAGATTAAGTGGTACAGAAAAGCTCTTTCTCTGCTTCTGAATCCTGTCATGAGCTGAACAGCTTTCCTCCACCATGCCTTTCCTCCATGATGGACTCACCTTGGGCCCAAGGCAATGAAGTCAACCATCTATGGACTGAGATATCTGAAACCATGGTCACAATTTAAAAAAAGTGAAAATGTTCTGTATTCTGGAAACACTCACTTGTTTCATTAAAACCTAGATAAAAAGAATTTTGGACTTTCAAGCTGGCATTAATCTGGAGATGACCCTGAGAACTTCCTGCCTGGAATGACAACCGGGATGTGGTATAAGGAACTATTTTTCCAGATAATCCTGATGTTTCAAGAAGGCTGTCTGTTCACATTGCCAAATCAATGTCCCAAATCATTGCATCCCAGAGAAAGGATGCAGTCCTGAGCAAGACAGCTGATGGTTGGGTCCAGAAGGCCTCATGGAAGACAACAAGGAGTATGAATGTGACCCTCCTGCTGGCCAGGGAGATTGTCCTCCACGGCTGTTTTGCCTGAACTTTATCTGAATCCCTGAGACATTTATTAAGCAAAAATTATTTTAAAGTCCCTGCTATGCTTTGGAGTCATTTGGTTAAACAGGCAGTCGTCCACCGAAGCACAAATTCTGATTAGCACCTTAGGGCATCAACATATACAAGGGAAACATCAATAGGGTTATTCCCATTTTTCACATGAGGAAACAGGGGCCAAAAAGGTTAAATATCACCATCATATTAGAAAGAAAAAAGAACAAAGGCAACACTGGAGCCTAATTCTGCCTAAATCCAAAGCCAGTATGCTTTAAACTACACCACAACCAAATATAAAGATGAAATTACATTCTACATCCTCTTTGTTAGATGTGAAGGAAATTATCCACTATGATGGTTATCTTAAATGTTGAAATTCTTAAAACATGGAATACCTGGGAAAAACTCACTGGTGGATAAACCAAAACAATTTATAAAAAATAATAATAGAATGATAGTCTACTATGCAAAAACAAAGAAACAATACTGTCCTACATAGGGCTAGAATGAAGTTCCACTTGCACAAAAATCTTCTAATCATACTTTTGTTCAACTGGGTGTGGTGGCATGTCTGTAGTCTCAACTACTCAGGAGGCTGAGGTGGGAGGATCACATGACCCAGGAGTTCAAGGCCTGGGCATCCTAGCAAGAATTCATCTCAAAAAACATTTTTTTTTCAACACAGTAAGCTCTTAAAAACTTTATTTTTTAAAAAAGTGAGTCGAGGTGGGGGAAGGGTGATACACAACATGTTCTTTGAAAATAAAGTGCCAAGGTCACAAGAAAATGTAGGAGCTGAATGTCAGCTTTGTACCTGAAAACCTCTGAATTATTTCCTTTAACTTCTTATTATTCAATTTAGAATATTAAATTTTTAAAAATCAGAATGACAAATAAAATAGCAATGACAGACGGAGAAGACAAGAAATAAAATCAACGAACAATATAAATATCTTACATTTTAGTCTAAGATTAAACTTCTTCCTTCATCAATCTTAAACCAGAATTCAAACAAATAATGATATTGGTGAGCTTGAACTATTTTTGCAGAAGTCCCTCAGCACTCTGCACATGACAAGTGTCCCAAAACGCTCACTGCAAGGGTGATGCTAGTAAAAAATGGCAATTCCATGAGGGTAAACAAAGAGAAGCAAATGATAAAAATACATCCCAAATCAAGAAAGAGTCCTCCCACCGMATCACATCTGCTTTGATGAATAATTAGCCTATTCCTTTGGAAGGAAGAGGGGAAGAGTAAAGCAAAACCATTTGAGACTTTCCTTCAAGTTACCAAAAGGTCTGTGAGCCTAAGTATTGAGCACTTCTCAACAAACAGGCTGTTGTTGGCAAGGCTTCCCCTTTTCCTAGCAGGCAGGTTGTTGTGCTTTCAGTACCAGCTGAGAAAAGAGAAGTAGCTTTGACAATTTTATCACCTTGGAGAAACTCAAACAGCCCACAGATTCCTTTTTAGAGACCTGGCTCCATCCTCTTATAACTAACTTTGCAATTAGAAAAATAATAACTTCAATCATGAGAATCAGAGAATCTCAGTTCATCTAAAAACTAACTCATGAAGAGCTTTACATTAAGAAAAACAATAACCTCAATTAGGAGAATCAGAGAATTGTAGAGCTTCTTAATCTAGGCAAATACATCATTCTCAATTTCTAGAATGTCATATTAGTGGAGTCAGAGTACTAAGCTTGATCATTTTTCGAGTGCAAACCTATTAACAAATGTGCAATTCCATTAGAAGAAATGTTTATGTTTTTGCAAGCAATGTAAGTTACCTCCAAGAATACCCCAACAAGCTAGGAAGTCATATACTTAAATACATGGGCACCTGACTGCTATCTAAATACAGTATGCTCTTAATAAAAATTACTGCTTGACTTACATGATTAAAACTGAATTCACAATATCATTTGGTAAAACATGCCTTTTTATATCCCTTTGAGCGACCAAACCTGCTTTTACACATTCATGCATTTGACAGGAAGTTAAGCTATGTTTCTGAGCTTTGTAAAATACAAGCAATTATGTACTTCACATGGCACAACATGTTACACATGCTGAGTAAATCAGATTAAGAATTAATAGATTAATACATAACAGCCAGGACCAACTACAGACATGTATATGTACATGGGTTAGTACACTCATATGCATGTATACATATATTATCTAGGTCTATCAAGGGCCTCAAAGCAGTAACAAGCACACCCAGTACCTGATCCTAGTTTCTAAATACCATTCTTCAATAAAGAGGAACCAGGGCTCCTTRGAGAAATGAACTGCTAATTCTAGGGTTGGCACAGGTAAACAACCCTAGAATTAGCAGTTCATTCTAGGGTTGAATGTATCTTTCAGGAGTATCTTTCTAGTGCCAAAAGTATGGAAGTCCTCAAATCCTCATTTCAACTCTTAATTGATCTTCATAAGAGAAATATTGCTATTAAGGGAGAACATCTTATTACTACATATTAGATTTGCCTTCTTTTACTTCTTCTACTCCAAAACATGCAACCCTGCATTCCCTAACTGAAGAGTGCCAGAGAAGGAACACATTAAAAGCAAAAGTGGTTAGAGATTAGTCACAAAATTAACTCATACCGTGCAAAATTCAAGCTTTTTACCAGTTCATCTAGTATGCGATTATTTTTCAGGTCTGGCTCTGTGACTGTCTAGAAAAGAAAAACAACAGATGGAAAAAGGTCAAAAACAATAATTAACTTTTGTAATCTTGTTTTTGAAAATGTCTGACCCATCCTCCTGAGGCTYGCCATCCCACTAAGTCTTCCAGGAAAGACTCAAAATAAAGTTCATTTACCTCAGACTACATGGAATTTTATAAGAGTGAATCAGTACCTACTAACTGGAAGTCTGATTAAAGCTCTCAAAGCATCTATTTAAAATCATATATTATTTATTCTGTCCTAAGAAAAAGCCTAATATGAGCAAGAATCCTTCAAAATGCCAGCACTCAGCTTTCCCTAAAATTTCTCCTCATAAACAGAAAACTTCTAAGTAAAACACTGGGAGAGCCATTAAGTGTCCAAAAGAAGTTTAAAAGTAAAATTGTTTTCAGGAACACAAGAGAAAAATGAAAAATCTTGTCCTCCTTCAGTATGAACATTACATAGTTGATCCCTGAGATAAGGTTTCCTTTCTGTTAAACTTCACACTCTCTTCTTTCTTTATCCTAACTTATTTTCATTCTCCCTTTTAATCTACCTTTCCACCTGTCCCTACCACTTGAAAGATTTTGCAAATTTTAACATCCAATTTTCTTAAGCCCACAGGCCATGAATCTTTGCCTTTTGCACAACTACTTTCACCAGTCTTTTGTAAATTCATAATCCCACTATCAGAGTCTCCACCAAATCTAAGAAACTATTCAAAAAAATTAGGAACCATAAAAGCATAGACCATAAGAATTAAAGAGTGCTATATCCCAATTTTAAAATTAGCTTTTACTTCTGAAAATACATTTAGATTATAAGAAATCCTAATGAGAAATTGAACAAAATCCAGTTCTCCTTAAATATACTTTAGAGGTTCTTTCTGAAAAGGTCTTTTATATTTTTTAATTCAATAATTACACATCTTCTCATGGGTTTTTGTACATACATAAAGATGAAATATTTTTACCAATCAGTAAGTTTTTTAAAAAAGGGTATAAAAACTCACCACACAACAAGTTGGACACTGAGTTTTATAAGATAGAAATTTTCTTATACAGAGAGAACAATCTGTAAAAACACAAAATGGAACATAAGTTAATCTCTATGAATAATAAGGGAATCTAACTTTTAACAAATCTGACTTAGGCCTTGGAATATTTCCACCATCTAAGGCATATCATTATAATCTTAAATTTTTAGTACCTGTGTTCTATGCACATTTTCACATGTAATTAAACAGTGTTATTAGTAAAGGGAAATATATCAAATATAATGACTCCCTAGGATACCACAATTCTGTAAGCAATATGCATCACTCTGTTTTCTCCATTTGTAAACTGTGGGAACATGCATGTAAGACCTGAGCTGAGTATTACATAAACATGTCAGATATCTCTTATTGCCTACCTTTTGAAAAATAAATTTTGAAACAGGACATATACATATTTTAAGAAATAAATGTTACCTAAGTTAACAAATTAGCAATTTCTATATACTAAATCTGCAGGTGATGTCCATCATTGCACATTTAACAAGCACTTCTGTGGCAGGCACTAAGAAAAGAGCAGTGTAGAGGGGAACGTTCTTTACCTCAAGGAGATAAGAAAGCAGTGAGGCAATCATAGTGTACTTTAGTGTAATAAGTCCTAACAATTTAAGCAAGAAATGAGCACCAACTAAATTCACCACTCAAGGCTGTATAAAATACTCAAATAAAAAGCACATATCACTAATAGTAGTATTTTACTGAAGCTAATTTACCAGTAGCCCAAATTCAGTTGAGTTAAGGAGCCTCCTCAAAAAGAGTTGAGTTTAGCCGAGAAGGAGGAGACGGTATGATTACAGTACAGGTGTTCAGAAATAAGGAAGTCTTGCCATCCTCAGKAGGAGTACCCCAGGAAGAAAAATAAAGGGACACATTATAAAAAGGCTAAAACCACCAAAGGGTTTGGGAWACAAAGATGAACAGAAGGGACCAACTCAGACACTGCCATTCCATGCTAACGACAAGCAAAAAGCTGAACTGAAAAACTAACAATTCTGAGATCCAACCAGAAAAGCAAAGTCACAGGGCAAACTGCTTCCTCCAAAAATGGAGAAGCAGATACAGAGACTCACTACTTACTGACAGAGAAACCCATAAGAGAAACATCCACAAGAACCAAAGAATACTGTGCTGGAAACCAGGGCAGAGGAAGAAAAACTTCAGTGGTCATTGATGAACTGCAGTAGATTAGGAAGGACAAATCTGAGAGTTAAAAGCTTCAGAGGACCCTGTCCTTAGAGGTCCTCATGCTCTTGTGAGTTTTTGCTCCAGGAGTTCTACCAAGTTCTCACAGTGACTATCCAAAAATAAAATCCCTAGTCATGCAGGGAGAAGGGAAAAGTAACCACTCTGAGACAAGCCCCAGCACTAAGTTCACAAGGCCTGCCCTCAGGAAAAACTATTTTACCAGAATAACCTATTGGGTTTTTATCAGAGCCCAACTGACCTGGGAGGAGAGAAATATGCAACTACAACACTCTCTAGCCATCCTCTTCCAGTTCACGAGCAAGTAAGCAAAGCATTTGTGAATCTCAAGCTCCAGAGACAAGGCTCCCTAATAGTCTTGAGACCTACTCACAGAACTAGAAAATGCTTCTCCTCCTTCCACATTTACCATAGCACTCAAGGCCTATTTACTGCAGTTCCTTTTACCCAGTACATCATTCCTGGCTATTAAGAAAAACTTACAAGGCATACTAAAAGGTAAAAAAATAAAAGATCCAATCACCAAAAAAAGAAAACTAACACAAACACACAAACACACACACACACAAACACAAACACACACACACACACACACACACACACACACACACAGTTTGAAGAAACTGAGCAAGCATCAGAAACAGGGTCAAATAGAACAGGAATGTTCAATATATCAAATGAGGAATTTTTTAAAACTATGATATGCTAAGAATTTTAATGGAAACAGACAACATGTAAGAACTGATGAGTAATGTAAACAGAGAGGTGGGATGCTAAAAAAGAAGCAAAAAGAAATGTTAGAGATAAAAACCACTGTAACAAATGAATACTTTGTCAAGATAATAAATATACTGGACACAAATGAGAAGAAAATCTCTGAGCTTGAGTCTGTCAATAGAAACCTTAAAAATTGAAAAGTAAAGAGAAAAAAGACCAGAAAAAAAATGGAACAGAATCTTCAAGAACTGTGGGATAGCTACAAAATTTAACATATCCATAATGGAAATGCCAGCAGAAGAGTGAAAGAAACACAAAAAAAGTTTACTGCAATGACTGAGAACTTTCCCAAATTAATATTAAACACTGAACCACCTATCCACAAGAACCAAAGAACACCAAGAAGGACAGATGCCAAAAAACGAAAAATACAACTATACCTCAGCAGATCACATTCAAATTTCAGAAAATCAAAGATAAAGAAAATTTCTTAAAAGAAGCCAGAAGGGATAAAAAAAAAAACTTACCTACAAAGGAGTGATGAACTACATATGACTTCCCTCAAGGAGGGAGGGCCAACCTAGAACTCCATATCCTATGGAATTATCCTTTAAAAGTGAAAGCAAAATAAATATCTTCTCAGACAAATAAAAATTGAGGGAGTCTTTTACCAGTAGATCTGTCTCTAAAACCTGCTCAAAGTTCTTCGGAGAGAAGAAAAATGATTTAGACCAGAAACTCAGACTTACATAAATAAAGGAAAAACAGTGGAGACGGAATAAGTAAAATTAAAATAAACACTTTGATTTTTCTTATTATTCTAAAAGAGAACAGTTTGTATAAAATAATAGCAATAGAATATTGAATTACATATGGTTTTGTGTGGGGGAGGTGGTCTGTGTATATATGCATGCTTATGTAAGCTTATGAATAAATAAAATGAATGACAGCAATAACATAAAGGACAAGAGGAAGAAATCAGATATATTAGTCAGATTGGGCTGTGATAACAAAATACTACTGCCTCATAGCTTAAACAACAGAAATTTATTTTCTCCCAGTTGTGGAAGCTAGAAGTCCAAGATCAAGGTGCCAGTATCTATTAAGTGCTCTCTTTTTGGCRTACAGACGGCCACCATCTCACTCTGTCCTCAGAGGGCAAGGCAGGACAAAAACACAGGCTCTCTAGTATCTCTTCTTACAAGGGCACTAATCCCCATCATGAGGGTCCCACCCTCATAACCTCATCTAAACCAAGTGATCTCCTAAAGACCTCATGTTCCAATACCAACTCAGTGGGGGTTAGAGCTTCAACACATGAATGGGGAGAGGGCATAATTCTGTCCATAGCATTGCCTGGCCCCCAAAATTCATGTCCTCTCACATGCAGAATACATTCCCAACAGTCCCAAAAGTCTTAACTCACTGCAGCCCCAAGTCTAAATTCCAAAATTTTACCTAACCACCACCCAAATCAGATTATGAATGGGACTATCATTCTGAGGGAAGATTCCTTTCCGAACTCATTATCTTAATTAACAATGTCACTCTCTGCATTACAAGAAGTCACCTGAGCAATACTGCAAGTCAAAAAGGCTAAGGCAGAAGGATCACATGTTCAAGACCAGTCTGGGCAACTTAGCAACACCCTATCTCAAAATAAAAAATAAAAAGAACTGGGGATGTATCTCACTGGTAGAGCCTAGGTTCAATCCCCAGTACTGGGGGGAAAATATCCTGCCAAGTGCAATAGCACATATCTGTAATCACAGCTACTCAGGAGGTAGAAGCAGAAGGATTATAAGTTGCTTAGTGAGATCCTATCATAAAATAAAAAGAGCTAGGGGTGTAGCTCAGTGGTAGAGCATTTGCCAGACATGCTCAAGGCCAGGAGTTCCAACCCCAGTACTATGAAAAAGAAARAAAGGGAAAAAAAGAATTCCTAAACCACCTGCTCAGTTAGTCACCTATGGATACTGTTGTTGGTTTTAATGTAGTTTCCCGACTCCATACCCAATCATATTGATTCAGTAGATTTGGGTCAGTAAGAAATCTAGCTGGGCATATGCCTACAATCCTAGAAATTCAAGGGGGCTGAGACAAGAGGATCATCAAGTTTGAGGCCAACTTGGGCAACTTAGCAAGACCCTGTTTCAAAATATAAAAATAAATAAGGAAAGAAGAAAGAAAGAAACAAACAAACAAACAGAGGGAGGGAGGGAGGGAGGTAAGGAGGGAGAGAAGAAAAGAAAAGAAAGAAAAGAAAGGCTGGGGGTRTAACTCAGCAATAGCACACCCCCTGGGTTCAATCCCAGGTACTGCAAAAATAAATAAATAATAAATACTGAAATGTTTAAGGAGTAGCAATAAATGACTAGTAGTTAGGATCACTAATTATAGTCAATCCAGGATAATACCAAATCAACAGATCTGGCTCCAACTACCAAAACTTTGAGGACTTTTGTATCATTAAAAAAAAAAAAAAAAAACTAAAGGAGGGAGAGTGTCTCTGTGGTAAGACACTTGCCTTGGATGTACATGCCCCTAGTTTCTATCCCAGCACCCCCCAAAAAAATTATACATTCACAGGAAAAAAACTGATGTATATATTGTTTTTAATTCTGGTATGGAATTTAAAAGACAAAAGCATTTTTAAAAGCTATAAAAATATAATAATGGATACACAAGAAGAAATACATAATTTGTAACATCATTAACAAAGTATGAGAGGAAGAAGTAAAAGAATAGAGGTTTCTTTTGTTTTGTTTTTGTGGTACTGGGGATTAAATCCAGGAGCACTTTACCACTGAATCACATCCCCAACCCTTTTTACTTTTCATTTTGAAACGGTGTCTCACTAATTGCCTAGGCTGGCCTCAAGCTTGCCTCAGTATCCTGAGTTGCTGAGATTATGGGTGTACCCTACCATACCAGGCCAAGAGTAGAGGTTTTAAAAAATAAAAATATAGAAGAAAACAGAATAGAGATTTTGTTTGAGATATAAGTTAACTTGTTAACTGTTGGGAGTCTCCCTGAGAACGCCCTGGGCCTTTCAAACATGGCGGCAGGCAAATTGCCAGTGGGTGGCTAGAACTCCCCG